TTGATTTTTTAATTTGTTATAATGATAATGCTATTTATAATATGAAATTTCAACTAAAAATAAAAGAAATACAAATAAATGATTTTTATTAATAAAGCATAAAAAGAGTCCATCAAAAAGAGAATTTTTTGTTTACCAATTGAATTGGTTTACCAGTTTCTTTATAAATTTTAAATCAATGACTGTAATTTAATCTTATAGCTATGATGATCTTTATTAATTGATCTTACAATAAAGTCAAAAATAATAACCTTACTATAGAATTTGCCCGCCAATCCTCCTTTAATTGTTTTTTGTGACATCAACCTAAATATATTACATCACGGAATTTTGTTGCACAAGTACACAGACATGTACATTTGTAGGATTAAACGTGTTTTTACGAGAAAGTATACGTTTGCTGCTCTTAACACAATCATTTTAAATACAATTGCTTCCCTTTATGATTTATAAATTTTATATTAATTTCTCAAATTTATTAGATAATTAAATTACTTTACCAAACTTGGATCAATATCAAAAAAATATCAGTATTCTTCTGACCCAACCCACAAGAAACAGGCTAATAAGATTTCTTTTATTAATTTCATATGTGAAATAAAATTAAAAAGAGTTTTCATTGTTCCATTTAAAAGAAAAACTAAAAAAATTTGTACTAGGTACAAAAAGGCTGGTGCTAATTAAAAAGGCCCTAATCAGAATTCTGGGAAGATTCTTTGAATTGTCCTTTTTATGTCCTGCTCGCATCATTCCCACAAAACCATTATTAATTCTAACCAAACACATCTGAATTGATTCATCCAGGAAGTACAACAAGAGCTGTGTAACTTGCATTCTTCACATGCATTTTAAATGTACAACTATCAACCATTATACTATGATTGTTGGGGACTCTCTCTTCAAAAACATAGGGTAAGTACATATTTCGTGCGTACCAAAAAAGGGAAGGTAAGTGTACCAGGTGTAAAGAGGATAGAAATTGAAAGAGGGTTGACATTATATATACCAGTGGAGAAAATCGTGAAATTCATGAAATAGGTGGTGTATTCCCTGAAAGGGGAGACAGCCACCATGCGTGATCTGCAAGTGAATGCGGAGAGGCTGAACTTGTTAAATTTGCAAATTAGAGATTCAAAGCACTGAGACATCGCACCCTCACTTACATTGTTGACCGTACAAGTCAGGCTGAAGACTCACACTCGCCCATTGCACTAGGGCCCGAAATGCGAAATATGGTCCACGGTTAAAGGGGAACAGGTGTCAAACTGTAAAGGCTGGTAATTTCAAATTTGGAGGCAAGTAACAGAGAGATACCAGCATTCCTGCAATGTGGGCGGCTCTGATCACGTTTGTCGCTCCTTAATTTCCGTTTCTCAATATATTTACTTCTTACCTGAACATGTTTAACATATCTTTATCTAAAAGTAAGCATGTTAGATAAATTATGGATTTATGTAAACATATATTTTTAAAGCATTTTTAAAAATAACTCTTAAAAATAAGATATTTTCAAAAATAACATTTAAGATAATTTTAATTGTTTAATTGAACAAAATTACTTTTAATAAAATTACATGCTATGACGTAACACATTATGTACAAAAACATGTTACACGTCATGATTAGGTTGTTACATGTTATGTTGAAAAAAATACTGTTGTTACACGTTATGGACAAAAATATGTTACATGCCATGGTTAAGTTGTTACACGTCATGTTGAAAAAAATACTGTTGTTAAACGTCATGGACAAAAATATGTTATAATTAAGTTGTTACACGTCATGTTGAAAAAAAATATATTTTTACTCAATATCTTTCTAATGCTTTTCATTTTAAATATTTTTATTAGAAATATTAATAAGATTTATCCAATTTTCATATTTAATAATTATAATTACATTGGATGATTGCCATTTAATATGTTAATTATATTTATCCAATTTGTAAATAAGTATCTTCTAAGTGCATTAAATTATTTTCGTTTTTATATATATATTTCAAACTTTACACTTCAGAAAATGGATATTTTTGCTCATTAAATTTCTAAATTTTCATCTTAAAAATTTTATTATAAATATCAATAAGATTTATGCAGTTTGCAAAAACTATTCTAATTGCACCAAATGATTATCACTAAAATATTCTTTTATCAAAAAATATTAATAAGATTTATCCATTTTATAAATAAAAATTCTAACTGCATTAATTAATTGACTTTCATTAAAAAATGTTTTATACTTCAAGTTTTACACCTTAGAAATATTTATATTTTATATATAATTATTAATTTAAATGAAAAAAATAAATATTTTCATGCAATACACATGGTAGTAAATATTAATTTGCTTAAATGAAAATTTGAGAAGCAAATAAAAGTTTTAATTGAATTTATACAACCATTTGACTTCAGCCCTATTTGGAAGCATGGGGCAGGATGATGGGGAGAGTAGGATAAAAATGATAATTTAATAGAAAGTTAGAGACCTTAAATTATTTTAATTATTCTATGTGTATCGATTTAAGAAGTTAAATTATAGAACTCTGAGGTCTTGTTTTATAAGGAAACCGCAGAGATGGTGGAGCTTTTAGGTAGATTAATTCATTGATGATTCTAAAGAATATATGTAAAGTGCTTAAACTGTATTATTATTAGGAAATAGATTATTATATATAAAATACATTGAAGTTTGTAAATTTTAACGACTATTTGTTATCAAGTGTATTATACGTGATTAATACTTTTTTACTTTATCTCTTTTGAAATGATAATTAGATATATCAATATAAATATTTTTACAATATAAGATTTGAAATATTTTTGTAATGTTAATCTATAAATGCAATAGTATTAAAAGTAATTAAGAATTGTTTAACGCCTAATTAATATATACAAACTTATACAATACTCTTATAAAAAAATTATGATAACGTAGTAGATTTGAAATACTTATACATATAGTATTTTATATTTATCTTCTTAGGTTGTTTCAAATTAATAGATAGGTGTATAATTAAATCTTTTTTTGAAAGGTGCATAATTAAATTTGAACTAACTGTTATATAATGTTCACATTTACCCTTGCAATTAAATTAATAAGATAAATTACCTATATAAAGTCTCCAAAATTCCTGTTTCCCTATTGAAATTGCTTAAAATAAAAAGTTGATTCCATCATGCATACATATAAAAGGACATTAAGCTTTATCGCATTCCCAAATTTCTATTTATTGAGGTAGCATTTAATTAATATGGTTAGAAATAAAAATGTCATAGTTTTTAAATTGGTGGATACAAAGAGAGTTAATATGAAATATATTTAACATGATTACTATTATGTTAGAGTTAAATCATTTTGTTATGAAAGTGATTCACTCAATATAATTATAAATATTTTATATCTAAAAGATAAATTATATTATTAATTAATAATTTTAATTACAATTAATTAAAAATAATAATTGTTCGACATTTTCAAATAAAAGATATGATTTCATATCAAAATAGAAGGAAAA